GCACAGTTTTAAATTGTGCCAAGAGGGAAATCTGCTGAGGCAACTACCTAAGAAACTTAGTGTTTTTCCACTATGCCTAAATATTGAAATTTTAGGTGACTCATCTCAGCTTTGTCCTTTATTACCAGGCAATTCTTTGTCATACACCAAATCAAGATAAAGTCACAAACAGGTGAAAATACCTCCTCCTGGTCCTGGTTTATCTTGGCCAGATTTGATGACTATGAGACTGACCAAGTTCCTAACCAGCTGCAATCAGTGTCATGGTCCCAACCTACTGAGAAACATCTGTAGCTGCCACCCTGTCACACGGGCCCTGGCCTCCACAACTGCCTCACATTTTAAAGAGGCTAGGAAACCACTCGTAACCCCTGGAATGTGACTAGGAATGCACTTCTTGTAGTCTCTGCAGGTGGAGATGGGGAGGACATTCCTGAGGCTTGCTCTGCTATGACAGATGACTTCCTGGTTGGGGTCCCTCAACCCTCACCTGTGAGGCAGCCACTCTCCCCATTTTACAGATGAGAGTCAGGGAAGGTTCAGAAGGATGAGAAACCTGGCCTGTGCAGCCAGAATTCACGAGGTCTGTCGTTGTCCAAAAGTGGTGTTCTTTCTATCACCCCCATGCTGCCATGTCCTAGAGCCACTGAAAATGTGATATTCAAAAAAATTAAATTTCAGAAAAAGGTCAACAGTGAAGCATTCTCCATAGCAAGACGCATGTCTGATATCGTTCTTGTGCTCTATAGTACCGGATCATTTTGAGACAAAATGATGGGTGGTCCTTAACTAGGATCTGGTCCTACCTCTGCCAATTAACTAGTCAAGGAGAACAGCCAGAGAAGAAAAACAAAAGACAGACACCACTTTACATCAAATAAAGTGAAAGTTGTCAACAAACTTTAAATAAGTTCCAAACACAAACCTCTGGTAATTTTAGAAGTTACGAGTAACAACATGGTCCCTCAGAAAGACATGATCTAAGTCTTGACTGCCATTAACCAAGTAACGATATGACCAGGGGCACCCAACCTCCTTGAGCCTGGGATCTTGTTGATAAGATGATGGTGTTGCACCATTATGATCTCTAAAACAGATGAACAGCGCTTAGACTTTGCCGGACCAGGAACCCCTTTTGAGAATTTGATCAAAGTCATGATCTCTCCCCAGAATTATGCAAAAGATCATCGACCCACAACACTCTCACACCCTCTGCTCTGAGGTCTCTCCCAGACACCCCTGCCCCCAGGTCTCCTCCCTTTTCCGAATGTTCCAAATAGTAATCACATGGGTTACGCATTCCGGTGATGTCCATTCAAGAAATATCTGACTGTGACACTGAAAGACTTCACTGCAAAACGGGAACAGTCTATGCAGTGCCTCAGACAGCGGATGGCACACAGTAAGTGCCCAATAAATATTTGTTAAATAAAGAGAATTTAAACACACTTTCTACCATATTTTCTTAAAAGCCATACAACTAGGTTTGTCAATTCTCTAACCCCAGGTCTTTCAAGCAGACTTATTTAAATTACATTCCCTTCAGCCAAAATGTAATGCAATTTCACCTTTAAATTAATCAAAATATCTAAAGTTTTTATTACCATGAAAGAAATAAAGGCCCTTGTTAGGTCATTTCATATATCTCTGCTCAATGGTATCACTCTGATAAGGAGGCTTATAGTAAAACAAGCAGCTTTTGTGAATTAGAAAAAAAGTAGTCAATTCTCAATTTAAAATCAACATCCAAACAACAAAATAAACCTCCTAAAAGTTACTAGCTTTATCATTCATCTCCTGCAGAAACAAGAAACTTGAAACTAGTGTCCGTATTTTCACTCTGTTCTTAGTACTTTCATTTCCTGGGGTTTACATTAAACAGGTCACATTAAGGCTTATGTATTTTCCTGCCATAAAACCTTCAACTAGCAAATGGAATAATTTTGACACTAAATACAAATAAACACCAACTACCTATCAACCAGATTTAATTAGACTCACAGATTAAAAATTCATACACACCTGCATTCCCTCTGCATCTACTTGATATTTTTGCACTTGATATAAATAATATGTTTGATCAATATAGAAAGAGCAGGAGAAAATAAGACTGTACCAGCCTGGAATTTTTCAGAACTCCTTAAGTCTTATACATGGAAGAGTCTGGTACAAGGACCCATTAGGTTCCCAGAGACCCTTACAAAACTCTATGTGGGCAAATTTTCTTTCTACACTTCAACCAAAAGAATGCATTGCAAAGGACAGAATGCAGAAGCTGATGAGAATCCAGCTACCCACTTTTAAGCCACGTATTAAGTTATTTGCAAACGTGCAAAACAAAGTCACTCTTCCCACCGCAATTTTTTCTTTTGGAAAATAGTTATTTTCCATTAACAATATTATTTATGTTAACACAAATTAAGGAGCTCTTTATCTGTTTAAGTGATTTTAAAATCTGTTTTACTTCTAATCCAGGAAAATTTCAAAACATATAACCCACACAACCAAGTTCTTTGGGGTCATCAACAATTTTAAAAGATCCTGAGACCATTAGGCTTGAAAACCACCAGCCTGTAGCAAATGCCCCAACCACTTAGTGGGTGAAAAAGGAGCAGCACAGAGCCATCAACTGACTTTATCTGCCAAGTAGAATTTGACTTCATAGTTCAAACCACTTTACTAAATGGATACGCAATATAATATTTTAGGCACTGACAGTACACATCATCTCATTACCTACTGCTTCTCATATTCAGTTTTACCCAAAGTTTGAAGAGCTGCTTAATTCTGTACGGCTGCAGCAAAATCCCAGTTATATGGACAGCGAACAATTTAATTCCTCTCTACAGACTGAATTAAATGTTTAGGTCACAAATTAGTGTAGTTTTCCCATTTTATATCATCATCACAGAGAGTTTTCTGTAATAAGCAGGCAGGAAACACAATATATATACTTATTCTGAAAATATCTACTGAAATTTTCCTTAAGGCTTGTCAAAATTTGATGTGAAAAAGGAGACATGCAAATAACACACCGAGTAACCATTCAGTTTACATGATTTTATAGACTGGTTTATGAAATGTATCCACTGCATTCTGACTTGAAAATTCATCAACTGCTAACTCAACACGTGGACTTAAATACAATCCACAGCGGCCTAAGATTCAAGAACTACTTTGTACTTCTTTAAGGTACAACTCATGGTCCTTCCTCCAGCCCACCCTCACTTGCCCAAGGAATTAAGTTCTTGCTTACATTTTTCACTAAAAACACAAATAGGAGGGTATTAGACTCTCAGAAATACACACAGAGAGGTATGAGCTTAAGCTGTAAACCTCTACTCACTCCAGCCATTGGCATTTCAGAGATACACGCCATGGCCCCACTCCCACAACTGTCTAGAACGTTTGTCGTCTTTCCTCGGTTCTTGGAGAAAGGTTCTGTGCTATGTGTGCCTGCCTCTCCCTAACTGTAGGTATATTTCCTATGTTGCCTTACATGTAGTAAGTATTCAATAAATACAGAGTGACTTAAGGTAGTACTGAGAACAAAAAGTTCAAGTCCCAAACCTAGAGCAAATTCAATAAACTAAAATGTGCAGCTGACTAACAGACATGGGCTTCCCAACACCTTCTTCTGCTGTCTCTGTTCTCTGGTCCAAGATTAGGGTTTTTAACTTGACACTCTACTGAATGAACATGGGAGGAAAGATGACAATCCACAAGGACGCTGAAACAGCAAAACATAAAGATCACCTCCATAATGAAAATCGGTTTTCTTAGGTTCGTGCTTCGGGAGTAGGATCTTTCATTCCCTAGCTATAATCTCTCCTCCCCTTCCTTCTCCTACCAACCTTTTCCAGGGAAAACTTAAGAGTGCAAGAATTTTAAAACTAGCTACCCTATCCTTTCACCATTACCCATTCCACCCAACACAGCCTGATACAAAGTACTCCAAGATCTGTCTCAAAGAGAATTTAAAATGTAGCCACTATTCTACAGAAGGGGGAGGAGGGTGCACTCAACTTTTCAAACAGAAAAGATTTCCGGGTCAACCCCTCAAACTCAGAACTAAAGAGTATCAGACTCATTTAAAAGTTGTGTCCCATTTTTTTTTTTTTTTTACCATATTTAGATTTAAGATGGTCAAAACACTGCCATGTTCAGAGAGAAAGGAAAAATGAGAGGAGGGAAGGAGGCAGTAGGTTATCCTGGCCGAAAAGGGGCCAGTTTCTCCCTCTACTGCTCCGCCTCATCTGAGAGACGCATTCTAGATACAGATCTCCCACAGCTAACCGGCAGACACATGGACTGACCAGACGTGCAGTCTGTAAAATGGGCAAGCTACAGGCTGGTGAAAAGATGAGCTCTATAAGCACAGAACCCCGATCCACTCAAAGTCCTCATTCTTAAGAGCTTACTCAGACGCTCAGTTCTTTGGTCTAAAATAAATTTAAGTTCAAGTTCACACTCCAAGGACAATTATGAAAAGAAAATTAGATATGGAAACCTAGCAACTAAGATGCCTTCCCAGAGGATAATGAATGGTTTAGGTAGAAGTAACACATTACTAACCAATTTCACATGTGGATCGTGACCTCTTGCCTATAAAACTCACTTAAGATAAAAATGAATACCTCTTAAACTACAGGCAACCTGGACTCAAAATGCAATGATAAACATATTCTTTTAATAAACGTTTTTAAAGTGGGTCTGGGGCACATTCAGATCAAGGTGTATTTCCAAAGTGTATAATCACAGTAGACAGGTCTGCCCCCAAATCATGTCCCTCTCATAAAATGAAAGTTTCATGAAATCATCTAACGAAAGTTTAAAAAAAAAGACAAGAGGGGGGTAAATGGTCATATTTTAGAAAAAAAGAAAAAGTGAGGTGACAGAGAGAGGGAAGGATCTGCACGACTGAGGCTGTGTTTGAAGGCGGCAGTTGGGGCAGGGCAGGAGGGGGTGTGTTCATGGACAGCAGGCGTTCGAGTACTTACTGTGCCCGGTTCTCTGTCTGCTCCGAAGTTACCAAGAAACGCACAGACATGCCCGTTCAGACACAGAGGCAAGAACAGAAATAAAAAAAAGGGGGGAATAATTAGAACACAAGCCCCAAACAAGTTTTAAAAATGGCTTTTATTTATATAAGTCATTGCACATTCCTAATACAGTGATTTCCTGAAAATTACAGTATTTTGTAAACATAAAGATTTACAGTTTAACCATACACAAAGCCTATTTTTTTATTTCTTGACAGAATAAATTACTTTTCTTCAAAAAATTAGTCAAGTGCAATTTTGCCCAATATTTAATGCATACTAGAATTAAAGCCTATGGAACTACGTAGTAACAGATGCAATTATCAAACCTTTCATTTGAACACATTCACTTTCAAATTTAACTTCTTATTTCGCCCCATTTAACAACATTACTTTCTTTGAAAATTACCCAATTAAGCAGTTAACAGTTTTCCATAATATAGTACAGGCCACTGGCATTAACTAGGCAGTTGCCAAGATGTCAAGATGCCTGGAATCTAAAGAGATCGAGAAATCTACAGATGCCCACGTTAAACCCTGGAGGCTTCCAGGGTGAACTGTGTTTCAGTGGCCCAGCTTTGCGACAGTTCCTCTTAGCTCAGTGTCTGCTCTCTGTATAGGTTGGGGCTTTCCTTAGCGGTGCACACAACTTTGCAGCACTGTATGAGTGTTAGGACAAAGTCCTAATCTGGCTTGCCCGGCCTCTCACCTCTGTGGTGCTCTGCATCATGGTGCTTCTTGTCATCTTTTATTGCCAAGTGAGACTGCCCACTCAGAGCACTAGACAGCGCCAGAAGGCCGGCGCTGCCGCCGAGGGGCGGGATTCCAGGAGGCTGCAGTCCCGACGGGTGAGGCGTTAGGGGGACTGGAGGTCCGTGGCCATGAGAAAGATGCTGAGCTTGCAACTGCTGCTGCTGTTGGTGGTGGTGGTGGTGAGAGAGGAGGAGGAAGAGAAGGAGGAGGAGGAAGAGGAGGAGATGATGGTGGTGGTGGTGGTGGTGGTGGTGGTGGTGGTGATGGTGATGGTGGTAGTGGCGGTGGCAGCATCCAGGGAAAAGCAGACATGACATGAAAGGATGGAGGAAACAGAACAGGAGGTTCGACATACACACGAAGACAGTGAAGAGACAGACAGAGGGAGGAAAGAGGGGAGAAAATGTGATTAGCACTTTCAGTTCATCAAAAGCTTTCACCTACTCAGTTACCTGATATAATCTTCCTAAAATATAATCCTCAGATCTACAATGTCACTTTCTGGCATAACTCACCCCCTGAGAGTGTAGCTGTTTATTATTAGCAAGCCAGGCTAAGTTAGTAAGCAACTCACATGTTAGTTAGTTCCATCTCTAAGTGCCTCCAGGGATGAAATCCAGTAAGTTATTGAACCACAGGTGCCACAGATTTAAGACTTATCCTGATTTCAGAAAGGTTAAAAGAGGGTAGGCGCAGACATGCACCCTACAGACAGTAACTATATTCTCAACGAGTCACCGGTCATCAGGTGACTCCAGTTCGCCCCAACATTCTTACATTAATTTACCACAAAGGTATGATGAGACAAAACCAAAATATTATCTTTCATTAACAGAATTCAGAAAGCCGGAAGAACTAGCCTCTCTTATGCACCCCACCTCCCCCCCGCCCAGGCACTTCTGTCCTTGTTTCATCAAACCCTCAGAGAACTGTGAGGAAGTACTGATTTTCCCATTTCACAGAAGAAATCAAGGCTTGCAGCGTGGAGTAAATTGCCAAGGTTCTTCCACGAGGCGGGAGGGGAGAGGAGGCAACGTAGGAAAGACCCTTATGGCTGTGCTCCAGTCACTGTCCCGCCTCAGGCAGAGGGAGGCCACAGGGAACCCTGTGGGCAAGAGCTGGAAGAAACCTCAGAGACGAAGCTTTGTTTATCCCTGCCTTTCTCCTGAGCCGCACGCTCGAAACCCACCTCTTCACTGTCACAGAGGAATGCCCTGAGACCAGAGAGACCAAGAACCTTGATGACGAAAACACCCACCAGTCATGTGGGACTCTACCACGGTGACCCAAGTCCTTGTTCCCAGGTGCTTTTCCTCTAATCACTTAACCCAAGCCAGAAGTTATAAATCTGTTCACATGAAGAAGGATCGTTGCTCTCATATATTATATTTAAGAGAATGTTGTAGGAAATGAAAAAGTATCCAAGAAATGGCCCCTGCACCATAAATCTGGCCACATTTCAGCTGTCCAACATAAAACTCATTTTTGATGAGACAGTAAAAACGATTAAAGCTCAATTTCTAAGGTGTAATGTTAGAAAATTCTTAAGATTCTGATTTGTGCTCACTTCCCTGGGACTCAATTACTCTTTTTATTTATTACCCCCTTGCGTGTACTGAATATATTAAATGTTCACGCCAGATCTTCAGTATTTTCCACCCAGACCCATGATCTTTAACTGAATCCTCAACATGCTTCCTGCCCTCACCAGCAAGAGAAAACAGCATCTTAAAAGCAGAAATCGGTGTCCACAGTCATTTTACAGTAAATTTTCCACTACTCCCAGCATCTTTTAAAAAATCTTTAGGAGCCAACTTTCCCTTTAAACTTCCATTCCTTCCAAACAGAGCACAGTTCTAATTAGAGAGAAACTGGAAAAGGGGGCAAGGTCAGAGGGGGCAGCATTAATAGTATTCTTGGAAAGTATTTATCAACTACTCATTCACCACTGGAGATCATAATAACCATTTCTTTATGCATAAAATCACCTTCCTGTCATCCCAAAGACACTAATTCTTGCTCTGTCACCTTTTAAGAGCTCGGCAATAGCAAGACATAAAACTGAAGAAGCTGGCAGCGCCATCACGGTCCACTAGGCATGCTCATTAGCACTTAATTAGGAACTAGACACCTGCCATAAGAAATGTGCAGGGAGAAGGATGAGGAACAGGTCTGCCCTACCAGCAATTACTATCATTACTTGGAGAGTAAGAGCTATGTCCGGCTTCTGGGGGGGAATGCAATGATGCATACACAAGCAAGCGCAGCGGGTAATTATGCACGGCACTGATTAAAAGAAGATGAGAGAGGCTAAGCAGAGGGGAAGGAATTTAACTACAGGGTGGAGGACACCACCCTTTCACCCCTCCCTGAACCCCCCCCCCACTCACCAAAAAATCAAGAATGGGGTCACCAAAAGATGACTTCAGAGGTGGGACTGTGTGTCAGAGCAAAGGCATACTCAGGTGACATTTCAATACAGAATAAGGAAGTAGATTTTCTGCCAAACCCGAGTTAATTTTTAGAAAGATGAACTGGAATGCTTTTTCTGATATATTACTGAAAAGAAAGGCTAGTTTATATAATAAAAGGGCTTTGCCACAGCTGTGAAGTGGACCTGCAGTTAAACCCAACATTTACGCTAATAACGATCAACAGGGATATCCAACAGCCTAACTGGTCACGGGTAACTCCCACCTCTACCCTGCTCTAGCTTTCCAGGCCCCCTGAAGATTATTAGAGGCAACTGGGTTCCTCCATCCTTAGCTTGGCCATCTTGAAAGCGGCTTCTCTTTTTAAAGCAAAATCCTATCAAAATGGAAGGAGCAGTAGGTAGCAGGATGGATCACAACTATTGAAGATGCTGTGGATCCAGGAAACGTGGATTTCGCTGCCTCCTATTCTACTTCTTTATCTTGCCACGCAGAGCTCCTACAAAATATTTTCATGTCCATTATCTGGCCTCAGCTCAGAACACACCAGAGGCAGGGAGGGTGGGCATCAGAGCCCTCATTTCACAGACGAGAGAGTAGCTTGCCATGGGACTCACAGCTAGAAGGATGACTGCAAATCTTTTGCTAGCTAGAACAGCATTTCTCCTGAGACCCCAGCAGCCCAGTCATCTTCCCAAGGAGTTACAGACTGAGTGCTCCCACGTCTGGGGAAGGAAGAGGGCAATCTCCTTCTCCACCCAAGACCTCACGTCTCTCTCCCTTCTCAGGCTATGAGTTGCTCTGAAGGGCATGCAATACCACATATCTAGACAATCCACCTTCACATTGGGACGTTTTCCCAGAGACAACCCACCTTTACCACGCAACCTTAGCAGCAGTGACAGATGGGAATCTCTTCTTAAATTTACAACTGATGGTTGCCATCTCCACATCCCCACTTCCCGATACCCTGTGCCTACATCTGAAAAAGGAGGATATCTTTAGCTTCATCTCTCTTCCAAGGAAGCTCATAAAGAAGAATCAAGCCTAAAAAGAGGTAGCTCTGGCTTCTCTGAGAAGATGCTTAACAATAAGAACAGTCATTTCTAAGACAAAACATTTATTGAAATGAATAGAGGACCCACATCCAGGGGAGTCGAACAACTGACTCCAAAGGCAGCCCGCCTGCCCATGTGTGAAGAGTATTTTTTTCTCAACAAGGCTTATCTAAGACAATCTAGTACTCACCACCTTCACCAAAAGAAAAAACAAGAATTCTCCTTTAAAACATATCTTAGGATAAAAGAGATACTGACATTACTATACAGCCAGCAAAACCTCAAAAAACCCCATGGCTCTGCCAGTTACGTGACTTCCCATGCATCTGTCCTCTGTTATCATCAGGGAAACCATAAAACGTTTCTCAACATGACAGCCAAGGGTGGGAAAATTCAACCATCCACCCATCCATGAGCTTACACTAATTAGCAAACTTTTGTTTTATTAAGTTAATCCTTGTAGATTGATACAGCACAGAACGCACAAGCAAAACAGCTTATAAAGCTATCGGAAAAGGCATTTTTGATGAGCAATGGTGGTTTAAAGCAATATAGCTGGTGTCTCAAGCTATCAATCTAGATCAGTAGTTCTCATATAGAGCAATTCTGACATTCCCCTTTCCCCACCCCTGAGACATCTGGCAATGTCTATACATTTACGGTTGTCACACCTGGGGGTTGAGGGGGAGGTACTGTTAAGCACCATACAATGCACAGGACAGTACCCCACCACAGAAAATTAATGAGCCCAAAATGTCAATAGCACTGAGGTTGAGAAATTTCAGTCCGGATCGAAGCTGGAATTCCGTCCCATTATATTAGGATTCATGTTATTATACACCAAGTGACTTGCCAAATTGTTACTTAAAAAATAGAAACACTTTTCAACATTCAACTGTTCACTGTCCCTTCATCACCATCGACTATTTTGTCACGACCCAAAAAATGAGCATCTGCTTCCTAGAGCTGACTCCACTGACAATGTCAAAATCAAACAAAGAGAAACTTCCTATTTTACAAAACAATTTGGGAAAGGGTGACACAGGGAACTTTTACATAGTGGTGCTGTGGCGCCTCAAAGGTGACCCGGAAGGGTCGAGGCTGGGGAGGAGATTAATGTGCTTGCTCTAACGCAGACGATGTGAACAGGCTGGGAGTGAGACCACTCAGAGAAACACCAAACCCTGAGTTAATGATACCGAAAACCCACAAGGAATAACGTCACCTCATCCGTGTCAAACAGCAGCCACGCATTTAGAATTTTAATTCACATTTCACCTGGCACTGCCTGGGTCAATGACGTTACTATAATGAAACTGACTTTGCTGGTAACATTCAGAGCTTTAATATAAGAATGTACCGGTTTCTACATTTTTGTTTCTAAAACAGGCAAAGCACATGGTTTATCAGCCCGGCGCTGCCCATGCAACTGGAAAGGACACCCAGAATAAAAACGAAGACTGATGCCCACCTTATCCTAGAGTGCTGAGGTCTTTATCACCAACCACTGAATCGACCTGAATTTCTGAATTTAATCCACTTCATAACCTATGACACACAGACCACAAACTGAACTCAACCAGAACTAAAACCATGCCCCAAAATAGTCTCTCTAAAGCTAAAAGCATGACAGTAAGTGACATTTATAGCACCTGGTATTTAAACACTTTT